TAGTCATTGGAAAATGAATCAGACTCTATCGAAAAGCAAGAGCAACTACAGTTGTTTTCATTTTATTTTGCAGCACTTTTCATCACTTATTACTGTCACGTTCTGTCTGTTTAGTTTCATTTCCATGTACTTTTAGATTGTTTCTCTTCAGTTACATGTTCCCTTTGTTTCATTCCCTTTCGCTCTTCATTTGTTACTTTGTTATTGAATAATTAGCTGTCACCTGTTCGTTATTGAGTCCATTAATCCTGTCTATTTAAGTCTTTCAGTTCATTCAGTTCTTGGTTCGGTATTGTTTGTGCTTAGCATGCGGTTGTGTTTTGTTTGAACCCTTTTGGGTCTCTGTTTGTATTTATTAAATAAACCACGCTACTTTGGAACTACCCTGCCTATCTTCAACATCTTTGGAAGTGAAGTATTACAATAACATTTGATTCTGACTGAAAGCTCACAATTTGAGTAAAATATTATTTATTTTCATGTGGCACTGTATAAAAAGGAGTGCAGGAATCACTGGAATAAACTAAGAACAACGCATTATATGTCTCATGTGTATCTAAAAATCTGAAACGTTACCTAAAATTTGATATGGTTATTCTGTTATTGAAGGTTAATTTAAATTCACAATGCTTTTAGGAAGGTAATGGGGGTCCATACATGTTAAACGAAGCATTGAGAACTTTGTAAGTGTACAGACTGTTAAGAAGATACTTTATAAAGACAGTTCACTTCATGTATACAGGTGGCGCCATCTTTGGAAAACAGTCACGACAAGTCAAACCACCAACAACGTGCTGAGTGATCTGAACTGTAAAACGGCGTTCGGGGATCGACTTATCAAGACTATTTTCTAAGATGGCTCCTGTCTGTATACGCGAAGTGAACTGTCTTTATAAAGTATCTTCTTTAGTAAGTGTAACGGTCTTTTTGCATGTATGGACCCGCATTATGTTACTGTGTGAGTGTGGGGCTATTTTGAGCCTTTTTAGTGGTATAAACTGGGGATTTCTTTTTACTTGTTAAATGCCCCCAGTACTAGCATTATACGCTAAACTGTTTTTAGAGATAAAACTCTTTACATTCGATTATCATGAAAACAAATCTCAGAGAACGGTTGACTAGGTACCGATGTTTTATTAGACCAAAGGTTCATTTTGCACCGGAGTTCTCCTTTAACTTCCTTCAGAGGCTTGTTGCATTGTGGGGATATACATGTACTGAAACCAAAACATAATGAAAATGCAACTCAGTCAAGCAAATCAGGAGATTTCATTGGTTTTATAATCATCTTATTAATCATTATTAATATCATCAAATACATTAATACCTGGAATTAATTAATAAGTTAACAATTAATAACAAATTATTGCACTAATGTACAATAAATCCAACCTTACCCAGGCCAGATATACAATACACTCACATTAGCAAATCTCAACTGCTTGATTGTTTAACATAGAACATTTTAAACTACATTTTATATTAATGTATTTAGTTACCAATATATATACCAATATATTAAATGTTGGATATATAGTAGACTACATCTACAGTATTTAACCGTATACTCACATAAAGCAATATACTATATAGAAAATCTCAGCTATCCACCTTATTCTGCTCTAAACAATGCGCGCTGCCATGACGACGACTCCAGTTGTCAAGTTCCGGTTCGAGTCTGGTCTATGCTTTTTTGCCATGAGTTTTAGATTGTGTCATCCCCACATCGCTAAACTAAATCGAAAAAAAATTCATCAAATGTGATCTGAACACATTATTTTTTATTAAATCAGATAAAAACAAAATGAACGTTTTTCTTTTCTTCATAACCTCCAAAGGATATAGCTGGTGCATGACTGCACGATCTCCCTAATCTAGCATGAACATCCGACAGTTTCTATCACCCGACTGCTGCAGAATGGTTAGCCCTTTACTGTCTACCTCTGCTTTCAAAGATGCATAGTCTATATAGTTCTCACTCAGGCCTGTGAGGTTATAACGTTACGCCGAGTTTCATTCATGAGACCAAAGTCCAGTTTGCGCACTGTCGCCTCCGTCATGATCATCTATTGTTTCTTATTTATTAAAACCAGTCAACTGGTTGATGAAACATTGATTTAAATTAAGATTCAATTATTAAAAAAAAACAAATAATTCACTTTAAAGAAAGGTTTCTTTGTGGTTTCTCTTTAAAATCTCTTTGAAAGTTTTAAAGTCGCTTATAACGGTCATGTCTGTGAATATAAAATGCATGTGTAGACTGATATTTTTTCCGATCTATGTAATATCATCGTATAGATGAGTGGTCTGGACTAGAGTGCTAGCATTCTATGTAAACAATACTTCAACAGTAAGTGGAAAACCGTTTAGTCAGTTGAAACCGCAATGAATCATGGGAAATGAACGGACGCAGAATAAGGTGATTTATCAATTATCATCACAAAATGTAAACAGTATATACGCACAGCTCTGTACAAATTTGGATATATATATATATATATATATATATACATACAACTTTATCTGCAGACATATGCTTGTGTAGAGTGATACTAAATATGTAGGCCTATGATTTCTCAACTGATTGAATGTTTTTTATAATCACAAAATGAAGAGTTCAGATGCAAAAGCCTCTAAATGCCATTTGATATTTTCTTCTTTAATGATGATTTTTATCAAACTTGTGTACAGTATTTAAGTTCAGTAATTTCACTTAAATAACAATTAATAGGTAATTATCATTGCCATTTAAGTGAAATTACTGAACCTAAATACAAGTTTGATAAAAATCATCATTAAAGAAGAAAATTTCAAATGGCATTTAGAGGCTTTTGCATCTGAACTCTTCAAATGTTTACTATATTATTGCCTAGTAATAATCTGTTAAATATGAAGTAAGGCATGAAGATATTAGGTCACCGTGATTTTGCGAAGACATGTTTCTGGGTATTAAAATACTTTACATATTTGTATTGATCCTGGAATAACATTCCTGTCAAAATGTATTCCTAATCCTATCCCCTACACCTAAACCTACACCTACCCATAACTTATACTTGAAATCAGATGGAAAAGATAAGTGAATAACACAAATGTAGAAGCACCTAGCCCTGGTTGTAAGCCTAAACTTGATATAAACTGTAAACTTGGCCCTGAAATCTGATTGGTTGATTGGAATTTTTCTCCAGGATCAACAAAGATTTTGATCTAGGAACTTGTTGTACTTGGTGAAATCACGTTCACCAAGAAATTAAGATATAATAAACATCAACATCATGGTTTTCTGTAAAGCTGCATTGAAAATGTGTTGTGAAAAGCGCTATACAACTAAATGTGACTTTGTCTAATAAATTATATCTAATATAATAAATTTAAACTGAATCTTTGAAAGTTGGCCTGAGACAGGTCATTAAATAAGCTTTTTTCTAAAGGCTCCACTCTCCAAGGGTGGCTATTTTTTTCGATCAGCTCTTTTGTGCTAGAAATTTTACACTTATCACAGACAAACTGAATCACACACAAAAAGGCCAATCCTCTGTATTATACCACTGATCTGTGGACCCATCCATGAACTGCTGTCCTGGAGGAAAGCTCACGCAAAATTCATACGAAAATTTTGTATGTAATATGCAACGTATACATCTGAAATAACAATAAACAAACTTATTAGTGGACATACCATTTTGCAGATGTTCGCCCAATTGAACATACACTCCCCATAGTTGTCATTTGGCAACTAAGGTGAATTGAACAGATGGTTTTAAAAACATGCTCTATGTTGAATTCAACAGTTACAATCAAAAGGCAATTTTCAGCATTCACTGGTTTTACAAATGTAATCGACACAATTTTGCAATAAAAGCACCAGCAGAGAATGAATTTGCTTTCAACATCAGAAGGCACTTTCTTTCCATCAGTGTTTTAAGTAATTTCAACATTGCAGTTGTGAGGTGGCCTGAGCCAATGCATCATTTTATCTTACAATAATGTTAGCAACCCATCTCTACATTTAAATTCTGTGTGATAGTTGGATAAGGATATCTGGTAAAATAACAGATATTTTAACAGTATTCAGGAATTGCTGGGTCTGTTATTTTGGGATTTATTTTGAATTATTTGCTCACCCTGATGTTGTTTAGAAAATGTACGATTTGTCTTCTACTCAAATTAAGTTATTTAGGAGAATTATTTAAATGCTTCATTACAGGGGCTGTCGAGTGCCAAAAGGAAGAAAAAAAATTATAACAAATACCAGAAAAGTTATAATTATGTAATAATTATACGACGATGTAATTAACTGGAAATGAGTGAATGTAAATAAGTGAAATGAGTGAATTTAGGCAAAAAGAAACTTAATGTACAGAATGAAAAAAAATGGATATTCAATTTGAGAGTGTTGTCAATAGTGTTGTTATTAATGTTTTAAAAAGATTATCTTTAAGTGAGCATTAGATTATGACAATGTAATATAAATGTACAACTAATGAATCATTTTACTGTATATTAAAATATTACTGTAGACATCCAATATTCAAACAATATAGACCAAATAGAATTAAATAATTGGTAAAATTGGTAAAATAAACAAAATGGTACTGATTTATTGCCCTTTACTAATTTTAATGTGAGTAACAGATATAAATGTAATCTGTTATTAACTAGTTCCTCATCAGTGAATTGTTTTTATTATTATTATTTATTTTTTAGTATATGTATGTTGTTTTTGATGGTCTGGAGCCACACTCTGACAGTGTAATATGTGTAATAAAGAGAGGCAAGTCCCAGAACAGAGTTATCATGGACAGTATAGCAGTTATTACCCTCATCAAACTGACAGACAGAACCTACAGTAAACCATATTTTCTGATTCTCAGGACTATATCAAGGACACATTTCTGTTTGCCATGCACAGAAAAAGCCATATTTCCACTCAATTTCAGCATCCGATTTTATTTTTTTTTATTTTGTTCTTACATGATGTTTTCCTTCTGTCATTACAGGCAACAATTGGAATCGACTTCCTGTCAAAAACCATGTATTTGGAGGACAGAACGGTAACCATTTTACTATGTTCTAACTCAGCAGTAAATCAAATGCACTAGACTTTTGTTTATTCAATGTCAAATGAGAAGTTAATACCATATTAAATCTCAAAAAAGTTTTTTTTTTTTTTTTTTTTTTATTACCAGTTGGGTTGCTGACAGTTTCAGTAAATAGATGGAAGCTCTTGTATTAAGAAAATGGATTGTATCGTCTAGAGATTTCTGTGAGTTTATAACCCAGAAAGATTTCATGACCTTCAACGGGGCAGTCTGGTGTGGTTTTATGAGGTCATATCGATCCACCTCCTTGCTTGGCTCTGCATATGTTTATGTAATTGTGTGTATATGTGTGTGTTTGAGAGGTTAAATCATTTGACTGTTCAGTTGGGGATCTCTGACTTGCAGGTTCGGTTGCAGTTGTGGGACACTGCAGGCCAGGAACGTTTTAGGAGTCTTATCCCGAGCTATATAAGAGACTCCACTGTAGCTGTGGTGGTGTATGACATCACAAGTGAGTGTCTCACACACACTCGCACACATGCACGCACACACACACACCCCAATGGTCAAACCTCCTTTAGCTATAAAACATTTCCCAGAGGATTTTTTTTAAAGCAGTTAATATGATTACAGCTGTCCGATTTGCCATTTTGAGACGTGATCAATGACGTGCATTTTCTATCAGTAAAGTATGGTATGTGTTACAGGTCTGTCTTTAACACTACAACCAGATAGATTCATCCCTGAAGATGTAAGAAGCAGCTGTTGGTCATTTTTCACAATAAATAGATGACAGTTTTATCTATCCATAAGCCCTAGTGTGACTTCTAGAGCCAGAGTATAGCGGTGTACACGACTCTATTATAAACACTGATTCTATATAGTGTATAGGTAAAGCAGTCAGTTTCACCTTGAAGCAGAAGCAAGTTCACTGATGTCAGGCTGCACATGAGCAGGCATAAATGCCATAATAAAACCTCATAATCAAAAAGAACCTCTACCCAGCCATCTGCCAACGTAGTTGAAAAGTGTTGGTATATAATTACTTTATTAATTATATTTTTATTAGTTATTTTATGGTGCACAATGGCTGGAATATGTTTAGTGTATTTTAAAATGAGGAAAAATTATATAACCATAACTAAAATATAAATCTAATCAATAAATAAACACACACACGTTCACTACCTTAATAGTTTTTTTTATACTGTACAAACTGTATATACTTTCCCCTTACGCTAACCCTACCCCTAAACCTACCCATTACACAAAACATTTTGCATTTTTACATTTAAAAAATAATAATAAATAATTACTTTATTTTTTATACCAGATTTATAAATGAGAACGTAAATGAGAAATGAGAAGGGAGGTTTTTGGAGATTTTGTCAGGTTTTGGTCATTTCTGGTTAAAAATGTGTTCTCAAAATAGTTAACTTGGTGTACACACACACACACACACACACACACCATTTTTTTTTTTCACTATGGTCTAATAAGTTATTATTTTAAGTGCCCCTATTATGCTTTTTAGATATTGCCTTTCATGTAATTGTGAATGTAAAAGGTTTGCAAAGTTTAAAAGATCAAAGTTATTCTCAAGAACCAATTCTGATCTGAACTATCAAAACGAGTCGTCAATAATTCCAGTCTTACTTCCGTTACCTCATAGGTTACAACAATGTAAAAAAATGTTTGCATAATGCCAGCCTATAGTCTTAATTGGGTGACACCAAGCATGCCGCACAAGTGCTGAAAAATGAGCGTCTCGATCGCCCCCCTGGTGGCTGGTCCCAGTATAGGTCATAAATCCCACCCTCCTCATGAAGTCTAATGGACGTGATAGAAACTAAGCAATCAAATTACACTTCATTTTTTTTTCCCGAATATGTTTTCTGTTATTTTAGGTAGTTTTTATTACGCTGATGCAAGTTTAAGTGTTGACAGCTTTTCTAAACGCTTTTCTAAATCAAATTACACTTCAGCTTTTCTAAATCAAATTACACTTCATTTTTTTTCCCGAATATGTTTTGTTATTTTAGGTAGTTTTTATTACGCTGATGTAAGTTTAAGTGTTGACAGCTTTTCTAAACGATGTCACTGAGTGACTTTTGGGGGGATTTTCAGGGGGAGATTGGAGCTTCAGCTTTAATTTCTACATGTCCATAACTGTTTATTTCGCACTGTGTTGTTCTGTAGTAAACTGTACTAACAGTTTCTGCGAGAGAGAGAGAGGGCGTTCTTGATATTGTGGCTTACTACCGCCCAGAAGCAGGTCCCAAATCGGCGCAAGATGTCAGAGCCATATTAGGACTTTGGCGGCTTCACTTTTACCAATGGGAGAGAGTGAAGGAGTGTCATCCAACCTTTTTTACAGGCTGACACGAACAAGGACTACTTTGACCCGCCCTCAAACACTGTAGTTGGTTCAAGAAGATGCCGTTTTCTGCACTGCAAAAGCAAATTCTCGCTGTATACACATTTAAAGGATGAAGATGTGAAGAGTCAGTGGTTAAAATGACCACAGCAATGAAACAGCAGTATAACCTTTTGTTGTATTCCCGTAATTTATTGACGATTGCTTCTCAAATCTCTGCGAGGTCAATGCAGGATTTACAAAAAGTTAACTATTTCTATTTCTTACCCACTGTTACCTAAAACTGTGTCTGTCTATGCAGATTGTCTGTCATTCTTACTACTTTGAGTGATAAAGAATAGAGCAAGAATTTGGTTTACAAACTGTAATGATACATCAGTCATTCACATTAGTACTTGGCTTACGTATGCATCGATACAGTTCCTGCATATGCACCTCAAAAAATTTGACATATACATGTTGTCTTGTTTATGGACATACATCAGCATGTGTATCATCAGCAAGTGTAAGGGAATTAGAGTTGAAACATCTCAAAATGTCAGTAAAATCTTACCACTGAGAAATCCTGCTCAAGTCCTGAAATGGAGGTTTGGATTGAATAACTAATTCTTCCTGTTTCATCGATATGTTAAAATGTCTTTACAGACTATACAATTGCTGAGGATTTCATAAATGTGGACGGCAAGGACCAGCCCGCCGCATCACAAATATCTTGAATGGTAAAGCCAGATGACCACGCCCATGACGAGGCCGTGCCTCTGGTCGAATGGGCTTTGACACCTATAGGGCAAACCTGACCCACTGAGCTATAAGCCATAGAAATAGCGTCCACTATCCTTCTGGACAGTCTCTGCTTAGTGACAGAATCCCCCTTGGATCGACCACCAAAGCAGACAAAAAGCTGTTCTGATTGCCTAAACGACACAGAACGCTCCAGATAAATTCTCAGCACCCTAACAGGGCAGAGAAGATCCCCCTCTGTAGAAGGGGGAAGGGCTAATAATGTCACCACCTGTGCTCTGAACGGTGTTGAGAGCACTTTGGATACATAACCATGTCTGGGCTTGAGGATGACTTTGGAGTCATCAGGACCAAATTCCAGACATGACGGGCTCACAGAGAGAGCCTGCAGATCTCCCACTCGCTTGATATAAGGGAGTGTTGCCCCGTGAGAGCATTTCTGCACCCAAATTCTGGACGACCAGGATATGCGTAGCCCTCAAACACAACAGATTGGTCTGTGCCCATAAGAGGAGATCTCTCGCCATAGCATGCAGGTCATCTTACCTGACGCCCCCCTGGCAATTTATGTAGGACACTACTGACATGTTGTCCGTACGGACTAAGACGTGATGACCCCTGAGGTTCGACAGAAATGTTTTCAGGGCCAAACCAACTGCTTTAATTTCCAGACAGTTGATGTGTAAGCTCTGCTCCGTGCTTGACCAGAGGCCAGATGCTGGAATGCCCTCGTGTAGTGCTCCCCAACCCACGTTGGACGCATCTGTAAAGACCATTTTCCTTCTGGAAATTGTCCCCATTGTCACACCCTCTTGGTACCAGTCCTTAACTCGCCAGGGAACCAGGGTCCTTAAGCAACCGTCATTCACCCTGATGCGCAGGCTGCCTGACTGCCATGCATGTGTTGACACCCGGCATTTCAGCCAGTGCTGCAGCGGGTGCATACGCAGTAATCCCATGCGGAGTACTGGCAATGCTGCTGCCATGAGTCCTAGTAGTTTCTGAAATTCCTTCAGGGGTGCGCACTCTGAACAAAGCTACAAACGCTCGCACTGAGAGCGCGCGCTCTGGTGTGAGCCGCTCTTTCATCGTCACAGAGTCTAAAACTATGCCCAGAAAGGTCGCACATTGATTGTGAAACCCTAACACAGTCTCATATATATGACGTCTTGGGACATCTTTTGACCATACGTCAACATCCGCCGTTTTAGGGTACCCTTTAACGTCAGTTACATGACGATCCTGGGACGTCATACAACTGATGCTTTACCTTTAACGTCAGTAAGGTGACGGGGTAGGTTTAGGACTGGGGTAGGGTTAGAATCCGATAACGTCACCTAACCGACGTTAAAGGGTACCCTAAAATGGCGGATGTTGACGTATGGTCAAAAGACATACCAAGACGTCAGTTATATGACGTCTTGGGATGAGACTGCGCTGGAAACCCAGGCATTTTAAATGGCTGAGAATCAAATCCCTGTGAGCTATTAGTTCGACTCTCGACTGCACTAGGACCAGTCAGTCGTCGAGATAATTCAGCAAGAGCATGTGCTATCTCAGAGGAAAGAGTGCTGCATCCACACACTTTGCGAATGTGCGGGGTGCCAAGGACAGACCGAACAGCATAACTGTGTATTGATAAGCCTGTCCCTTGAAGGCGAACTTCAAGAATGGCCTGTGGCAAGGGTTTATTTGAATGTGAATGTAAGCATCTTTCAGATCCATTGTGATAAACCAATCCCCCAGGTGAATTTGCGCGAGGATATGTTTGATAGTTAACATTTTAAAGGGCCATCGCATGAGAGCCTTGTTCAAATGTCTCAAATCTAATATGGGTCTGAGACCGCCATCTTTTTTCTTAAAACGCTGCTTGTTTTAATGCAAGGGGGACTAATTCAATCGCCCCTTTTGTTAATAAATTCTGCACTTCGGTGCGAAGCACATGACCCACGTCGGTTCTCACCAAGGTCTCGATAACCACCTGAAACTTCGGGGGTCTGTAAGCGAATTGGTGTTTATTGGTGAATTAGTGTTTACTTGCTTTATAGTGCTTATGACCCAATGCGACACATTTGGGAAAGCTTGCTAGGCTAGAACCCTTGTGGCTAGGGACTGACACACTAATTAGGACGGGCTGACTACCATGAGAGAACATGGCTGAGAAGGCGTAATCTGTTCGTAAATGTTCGTAATTCGTAGCTCGCTCAGGCTGAAATGCTTGTTCGATGGCGAAGGCTCAGTAAACAGTCAGAGACGTGGAGTTTGTCTCTGAAGGAGTAAAATCTGCTATTATGGCAAATTCGGGGACTAATATAGGCTGGTAAATCGAGAAAAATGAGTTTTCCCACTGAGAATACTGTAGCTACGCAACACGAAGTGACCGTTCGAAAGGGAACCTGATGTAGGAGACCTCTAAAACAGACATGGCTAATATTGGATAGTTACGTAACTTTGCATGTTCATTTTCGTTATTTGGACATTTATTTTATTTGTGTCATCAATTTAATGCTCACTTAAAGTTAATCTTTTAAAAAAAAAAAAACATTAATAACTTAACACTTTAAAAGACGTGGCAAAGCATAGCATATATTTAAGGGATTGGAAAACAGCATTAGTGACACAAAATATTTTTAACGTATTATACAGAAAATATCAATCACAACAGATTATTTCACTGTTTTCCCTACTTACCACTCTCTGTCTCTGTTTTTCTCTATAAAGATGTGAATTCATTCTCTGTTTTTTTTGTTTTTGTTTTTTTCTATACAGATGTGAATTCATTCCAACAAACTACCAAATGGATCGATGATGTGAGAACGGAGAGAGGAAGTGATGTAATTATAATGCTGGTGGGAAATAAAACAGATCTGGCAGATAAGAGGTGAGTTCTCAGTCTTATTCTCTCTCACACGATTTTATTATTAAGCTGCTTAACATGGCTGTTTCACTCACTAGAGTGTGAATCGAAGTTGACAGTTTCATTAAAGAGATTCTCCGTAAAAAGGAGGGAGCCTTTATTTCCGCTTTAGACTTCTGGGAATAAAGTCGGATTTTGAGAGCAGCCCTTCTATTTGTTTGAAAGAGGAGAGGTAAAGAAGCAATGTAAAAATAACACTTTAATAATAATTATAATACATTTAATTTATAGGTGCCTTTATCCGGCCAGGATATTGTCAATTAAAAAGTTTTCAAACTTTTAACCTGATTAGACAGAGGAGCAGAGCAATTCTCTTTTACCATAGAAAAAAAAATATATATTTGTCTTAGTTATTGTATTTTTTTAACCAACGAGAATAATTTCTGTTTTACTTGTGTTCAATTTTAGAAAATTACTTGAAAACCAATTTTTTTTAAATTCTCTTAAAGGGTTAGTTCACCCAAAAATGAAAATTAAGTCATTAATTACTCACCCCCATGCTGTACCAACCCCGCAAGACCTTCGTTCGTCTTCGGAACACAAATGAAGATATTTTTTATTTAAATTTGAGAGCTGTATAACTACCACATTGGCTGCCTAAGGGACTGCCTCTTGACGGCCCAAAAAGTCAATGAAGGAAATGTTTAAATATCCCAAGTGACTACCGTGGCTCAACTATATGTTTATCAAGCGACGCGAATACTTTTTGTGCGAAAAAACAAACAAAAATAACGAGTTTATTCGACTATTTCTTTTCTTCCTTGTAGGCCAGAAACGAGACTTCCTTAGATTTCCACGACGCATGCACGAGAATTGCGATCTGAAGTAGTGTAAGCTGGTGTAAGCAGATTGCAATTCTCGCGCATGCGTCGTGGAAATCTAAGGAAGTCTCGTTTCTGGCCTACAAGGAAGAAAAGAAATAGTCAAATAAACTCGTTATTTTTGTTTGTTTTTTTCGCACAAAAAGTATTCGCATCGCTTGATAAACATATAGTTGAGCCACGGTAGTCACTTGGGATATTTAAACATTTTCTTCATTGACTTTTTGGGCCGTCAAGAGGCAGTCCCTTAGGCAGCCAATGTGGTAGTTATACAGCTCTCAAATTTAATCAAAAATATCTTCATTTGTGTTCCGAAGACGAACGAAGGTCTTACGGGGTTGGTACAGCGTGGGGGTGAGTAATTAATGACTTAATTTTCATTTTTGGGTGAACTAACCCTTTAAGCACTCACCAAGAGCAGAAGAGGGAAATTTTGAAGAAGGCTTAGAAGACAGATAAATTTGGGTGTTGTCGGCATAACAAGTAAAATGAATATCATATTTCCTAAAGATGATGCCAATTGGTAAAATATAAATAATAAACAAAAGAGGTCCTAAAACAGAACCCTGGGGAACACCAGTAACAACATAGGTGGGTTTTGATTTAAACTGTTTAAGTTGGACAAATTGAATGCGGTCCGTGATATAGGAATGAAACCAGCTTAAAGGGTTAGTTCACCCAAAAATGAAAATTATGTCATTAATGACTCACCCTCGCCTAAGCCCGTAAGATCTCCGTTCATATTCAGAACACAGTTTAAGACATTTTAGATTTAGTCCGAGAGCTTTCTTTCCCGCCATTGAAAATGTATGTATGATATACTGTCCTTGTCCAGAAAGGAAATAAAGACATCATCAAAGTAGTCCATGTGACACCAGTGGGTTAGTTAGAATGTTTTGAAGTATTGAAAATACATTTTGGTCCAAAAATAACAAATACCATGACTTTATTCAGCATTGTATTGTCCGGTTCTGTTTGAACAAAACAACACCAGTGTGAGCGTCCTGCTAAGCATAACCCAGTAGGACAATATTTTGTGTATACATTTTCAATGGAGGGACAGAAAGCTCTCGGACTAAATCTAAAAAATCTTACACTGTGTTCCGGAGATGAATGGAGGTCTTACAGGCTTGGAACGACATGAGGTTGGACTAACCCTTTAAGTAACAAATCAGCATATTAGAATAATTTCGGCAGGTTTGTGGCTGCTGGAAATGTTTCTTTGCAATCAATGAGAATGCATAAGCGTAACAGGCTATTAAACAAATGAAACGTTTAGTATGAAATGGACATTTTATGCTTCACTAGTTCTACTTGCTCAGGGTAAATACAGCTCAGTCGCTTTCTCTCTTGTCAGTTTCCTCTCTCTAACTGTGTCTATCCCAAAGGGAGGTCATTTTTTCCTTGCTTTTCTTCAATAATACATTGCCTCTAGTTTTCATCCTCCATTGCAAAGACCAGGTTATCCATACTAATTTACAGCTCTTAGTCTTAGGAGACTTTGAAACAACAGATTTAGAAACAATTACAATTAAACAGAATCTGATTGTTTATCTGTTTGCAGATACCATTTGGTTTTATATTTTATCTAATGCGATGATTTTTGTAAATTTTAAGTGTGGCTTAGGAGTCTACATTTATAATTTTGAGGACACTGTATGTATTGCTTAAATATAAATGACTTATACATTACAGTTAAAAAATGTGGGGTTGGTATGATTGAAGAAGTTATTTGAAATAAGTCTCTGATCTCTGATCACTCTGATCTGAGTGATCTGTTGGGTTTATATTCAGTGAGCATATCTGCAATATATTGAGGTCCTAGCCCACTGAATGATTTATATACCAGTAATAATACTTTAAAATCAATCCTAAATGTATCTGGGAGCCAGTGTAAAGACCTGAGGACTGGTGTGATGAGGACTGATGTGTCAGATGATAGTATGTTGATTTAGTTATTGCTTTGGCATGACTACTGAAACTAAGGTCTGACTCTAGAGACACACCAAGATTCCTGACTTGATTTTTAGTTGTTAGACCCCTAGCGTCGAGGTGTGCATTCACCTTGAGAACTTCATCTTTGTTTCCAAACGCAATGACTTCAGTTTTGTCTTTGTTTAACTGCAGAAAGTTTTGACACATCCAACTGTTTACTTCATCAATGCATTGGCACAGGGAGTCAATGGGGCTGTAGTCGTTAGGCGATAGGGCTAAAGCTGTGTGTCGTCTGCATAGATGTGGTAAGCGATTTGGTTCTTTCTCATTATTTGGCTCATTGGGAGCATATACATGTTGAACAGGAGTGGTGCAAGAATTGAACCTTGAGGGACTCCGCCATGGAAGTCATGGATGTCCTGAGCTGAACCATTTTAGGACTGTCCCAGAAAGCCCCACCCAGTTTTCCAGCCTGTCAAGAAGTACAGTATGTCGTGATCGACAGTGTCAAATGCAGCACTGAGGTCGAGGAGTACCAGCACTGATAATTTGCCTGTATCAGTATTTCAGTGAATATCGTTTATTCTTTATGCGCCGTCTGTGCTGTGATGCGACTGGAAACCAGATTGAACATTGTCAAAGTATCCATTCAAGCTTAAGAATTTGCTTGATTTCTATGCATTTTTTAAACTATAGACTGTAAAAAATGGACAAAGCGTCTGTGACGCCCATAGACTTTCTGATTAAGAAGTAAGCGTGTGTGATACTTTAAGAAACACACACATGCAAACATTAAATGTATGATAATCACTAGAAAAATTTTTGAAATTAATCTTTTCAAATTATAACAAATGTGACAGGATTGACAAATTTACCAGGGATAATAAACTGTTGCTTACTGTACAGTATTTAAGATTGGGGTAATAGTTTTGGAATAATAATTTTTTCATTGACAATTTGTTGAACATTAATCTGAATATTATCACTTCATAATTGAAATCCCTGAGTGTGACATAATAGCTGGTTTTCCACCCAAACGTGAAGCAAATTAGATGCATTTCCATCAAGTTGTTCAAGCAGATGACGGTGGTATGGGTTACTTAGTAACCAACACTCATTTCTGATGTGATACTTCAAAATGCACATAAAAACAGGGTGATAGAAATAATGAGAGGACTTCACGCCACCCACTGCTCAGTAATTTCATATACCAGCTACATTTACAACACTAATTTGATCATTAAAGATATGCCACTGTGACTTCCTTCCATTTCAGAGTCTCAGAGATTGCATGGTCTCTTCAGAAATGCAGTCAGGTTTATGGCATATCTATGAAGGGTTTTCAAAGCTACACAATTAAAGAATTTGAGTGATATGAACATCAGATATGTTTTGATGTAGCTTTGTTACATTTCCACCCATACTGTGCGGATATGTTTTCGTGCCCCTTTCTTGTCTAGAGTGTGCTTTAAACTCCTTTTCACTTTTCAATTGAAACCCTAAAGGGAAACCAAAAGTGACTGTGCTTTTGAAGTTTTACAGTCTGCCACAAACTAAATATTTTGATATTCATGTCAAAAAAAGAAAGATGAAATTAAGCAGAAGTTATACATGTTGATGGAGCAAACTGTCTGCTCAGCTTAAATTCCCTGCCTTCTTTGGTGCATCTTCCAGTCATAAATGTTTTATCAGGTACTATCTTAAACTCACAGAAACAGCACACACAGATTTAGCATGTGTCACTGCCATTATTCATAAAGCTGTTGTGATTACATTCATGATTTTTAAAGTACATACGTTCTATCAAACACTATGAAATGATGATTATTTTGTTAAATCTTGGTCATTCTTTTCTGTCACATTGACCTTGGAATTTGATTACCTGTGCTTTTCCACACAACATATTTTCTTTTTTTCTATTTTCTTTCAAGTGGATATTCAATTTACTGTGTTTGGCATTTTAGATGGATGTACTGTATATACTAGGTTGGGCTGAATGCGTCTCTTTTTGTTTAGTATTGGCTCAAGGGTATGTAATCTCAGCTGACATCATGTAGTGTGTCTGGAAGAGTGCAGTACCATCTGTTCCTCTGACAGAACATACATCCTCTGGACTGAAATTCATGCAATACACCCACTGACTTTAGATCTGATAATCCAATAATATTATTACAGTATAAGATGTTTTGTTGTCTGGTTAAACACACA